ACANGCCTTTCGGACAGTTTCTTCAGTGATGGTACGCCTAAGTATCAATCAATAAATCAATCAATCGATCAATCAATAATCAATCAATCAATCAACCAATCCCACTCCTAACCCCCTCCAGTGACGGCCCTAAAAGGTTTGAACCTTGAAGTGTCTCTGATCATCTTTCTGGGGTGGTCCAAGAATAGCACCTACATTACAAGTTGTACATGAAGATCAATCATTCAATCAATCAACCATTCAATCGATCAATCAACCAACCAATCGATCAAAGTAAGAATCCCAACCAAGTAACTCCGTCATATTGAGAAAATTTAATAACAACGACGATAATAAAATAATCTAATTAATTATCAAATAACTCAAACAAACAGACACACAAATTATATTAATTATACAAACTAATCAGTATTAATTAATTATAAATTTAATTAATTAATTATAAATTAATTATACAAACGAGTAAAAAAAACGAAATTACAAACCTTCAGATCGTGTTCAATGGCGTGGCCAACAAGTATCTTATCCTTTATTAAGTCATACACCTCTCTTTGCACCTGCTTAAAGTCACTACCTAGAGATTGGTTATGGTAGTAGTTTGGTAATGAATGAGTGAAGGAAGGAGCGTACAAGGGAACGAATGAATGACTAAATTCATTTCAAACTATCCTCTAATCATTGCCTTATTAAATATCCTATGCTTCCATTGCATCATTTCATCTACACACAGTCACAAATATCTAATTCATACTCTCGCATTGTACTCCCACAAAACGTAGTTCTCATACTTTTTAACCTCATAACTGATTGAATATGACTAATTAACTAACTAAACATAACTAATTAATCATAACTAAGTGATTGAATATAATTAACTAATTAATTAACAATTAACCTTAATCGATTAACTAATTGATGAAATATGACTAATTGATTTAATATGTCCTACCTCTGGACGCAAAAGGAAGATTGATTGATTGATTGATTGACTAATTGATTTAATATGACTAACTGATTAAATATAACTAATTAATAAAATATAATCAACTAATTAATTAATTAACAATTAGCCTTATTCGACTGTATTGAAATGTAATGAAAATAGAAAAACTGAACCCTTTTCGAGATGGCAGGGCCTGACACCGCTGACATTGGTCCTGTAATCCGTTACCCTTTCTGTTGGTTTGACGAACTTGTCGTAAATGCACTGGCCGTATTGATTGACGAGGGACACTCGCGCGAGGATGCTGTCCGCACCGTGTCGCCCGACGCCCACCATCTCGCAGTCCATGCCGAGGACTTTCGTGATTCTGTGCGCATGTGTGTGTTTGTTTGTGTGGATGCATGTGTGTGTATATGTGTGTGTTTGTTTGCGTGCATGCATGTGTGTGTATATGTGTGTGAGTGAATAAATGTTTGTGTGTGTGCATGCACGTGTGTGAATGAGTGTATGTATGTGTATATGTGCGCGCGAGTGGGGGCCGCATTGAGAACTATTTGACATTCGGAGGGCCACATATGTATTCAAATAGAAAATTTTTTTTTACCTTTTTTTGTCGTGTTTCATGGTCATAATGTGATGTTTTTTTTTTCAGTCAAACAAGCCCACCTCTACTCTAATCTATGTATGTTACATACTAAAGAAAAGAACGAACGAATGAACACAAACGTATAAACGAATGAATAAAATGACAACACAACAACACGCGTTTAGACAACATTTCCCCCAAGATTGGGGATTGCCGTTGGCTACCTATGATGAAACCGAAATACCCCCCGACGCCATTCACATCTGTCACTCGCCTCAGTATCACGCAACCCCGCTTTCACCCTGTCCTTCTCCACCTGCTCTCTCCATCCCAATCGCGGACGACCCCTTCCTATCACTCCTTCAATCTCGAACTCCAATGAGAAGACAAACAGACAAAAAGGTTAATGAAATAAACAGACAAACAAAGAGACAAACAAACAAACTTGCAGGTTGGCGAATGTTTTGTTAGCAGTGAGACATTTGGATGCTGCAAAAAAGGAGAAATGAATAATTGAATATATAAATAAATAAATAAATAAAGTGAATAAGTTCTACACTCAAAAGACATTTAAGACCTTTTGTATGTTTGTTGTTGTCGATGGTACCTTGTTGTTGCTGTTGTTGGTGGTGGTGGTTTTGTTGCTCTCGTTATAATTGATATTGTGGTCTCTATTACTTTCAATCAATATCTCGTCAACGTCATCGAACCAAATTTCATCGGAGTTGCTGTTGTTGTCATTTGTTTCAGATCTGTTGTTGATTTGGTTGTTGTTGTTAATGTAGTTTGTGCTATGTTGATTTTGTCTTATTGTCGTTGTTCTGTGTTAATCTAACTGCCAATGTAATTATTATTATTATTATTAATACAAATCCCTTTTCAACAAATCTCAGATGCATCAGCATCAAATGCATAGTTCACCATTCTTGTGTCAATGCAGCTTTAATGCAATGTTAATGCTATGGTAATACTGACGTATGAATGATACAGAATACAAACTTATCATTTTTGAATCTTTTGGATTTTTGTTTCCCTGTCTCTTCATGCCAGTTAAATTTTCTTTTGGTTGTCGTTGTTGTCATCGTCGTGTCTTGATGTTTTTGCTGATGATGTATTTGTTGTTTTTTGGTCGTCCGGTTCTCGAGGAAATGTTTATTATTATAATTATTTTTGTTAATGTTATTATTTTGTTTGCCAATATTATTATGGTTGATTTTGTTATTAAGGATGTTGCTTGTAGTTGCAGCAGGCTGCTTGTTACTGATGTTGTCGTTGCGTCTAGGTTTGTTGTTGTCGACGATGACGTTTGTACGTCTGCCTGCGTTGTCTTTCAATCGTCTGCTGTTGACGTTTGTATGTTTGCTGGCATTGCGGTTCGTACGTTTGCTGCTATTAATGTCTGTATGTTTGTTGTTGATGTTTTTTGGAGATTTGAGAATGCTGTTTTTGATGTCTTTTGTATTGTGGATGTTTTGGTTGGAGAAAAGTTTGCTGCCGTTTTCGTGTTTGTTGCTGTTACTATTATTAGTAAATTGCTGTTGTTTCTTGTTAATGTCATTGCTGATTGACGACTGTTTGACCTTATTGTTGTTGGATCTGTTGACGTCATTGGCATTGATGCTGTTAATTCTATTTCCATATTTGATCATGTTATCGTTGCTAATGGGGCCATTGGTGTTGTTGTTGTTGACATCACTGTTACTATTTTTAATAAACTTTTTGCCTATGTTAAATAACTTTATGATATTACTACTGGTGGAATTCTTGTGTTTGTTTCTGTTGTTGTGGCCTGAGATAGGTTTCTTACTTTTTATGCTCTTAAGATGTTTTTTCTTGGTATTTTTGGTAACACCGGTTTGACATTTATTTTTCATCTGTTTTTATATAGTAAAAAAAATTGTTTTTTTTTTAAATTTCCTAAAAACCTTTAAGTAATATATTATAATTTATCATTAATTTAGTTAGTTGAGTGCTATCGACGGGTTTCAAATAATATATAATATAATTTTATGGCAAAATTATTGAAAATACCAAAAATTAAAGACAAAATCATTTAACTCTATTAGTATTAAATATTATTAAGACAATTTCTAAATTTAATTAATATTAATTTAATAGGATTTAAAAGATAGAGCAAAATTTGAACAACCAGAATGACCTGCACCACAAATTTATTATGAAAAATTACTAAAAATTAAGTTTAAAAATGTAGAATTTTAAATAAATATAACATTGATTGAAAAGAAAGAAACTTGCCTTGGTGGTGATCAGATCAGAGATCGGTAGTGATTTTAGCCACTTTTCATAATAAATATTACTAATTTGATTAATTTTCTAAAAATCAGTTCACGGCTTAAAGTTAAATTTAGGAAAATTAAAAATTTAGTATTGAATTAACTCCACGTTTTTGTAACCGAATTTACTTTTAATGATGGTCGAACTAAACGCCACCAACGAATTGAAATGTTTGATTTTATTCTGTATTTATTTCATTTCTATTTAATTATTATTTAATTATTTAAAAATTATTTAATAATTATTCAATTATTTAGCTATTAAATTATTAATTACTTAATGTCAAACTATGACGTAAAAATTTAAAAAAAATGTTCGTTAAATTGATTAAGGTTTACTTTTCTAATGATATATTGATTTTTTTTTGTCATTTTATTTATTTTTCTATTATGCAAAATAAAATAAAATAAAATAAATAAAATCAATAAAATAAAATAATTAATTTATTATTTAATTAATAAATTTTTTTTCTGCAAAGTTGGTCATTTTTATTATTTCTTTAAAAATTGAAATATAAATTTGTAAAACTTAATGATTAAAATATTTTTACAAAAATAGACCATAGCTTAGCTTTAGCTATCATAGCTTGGAGAGATGTACAACAAATATACTGAGTATCAATAGATAGATATACTATCAATAGATGTCAATAGATATACTTAGTGTATCTATAGAACAGATATGCTCAGTTGAGTATATCTATCTACTAAACTAATCTATCATAGATAATGATTATTATAGAAGAATAAATAGATTGAACATATTTATAAGATAAGACATATAAGATAGATAGAAGATATAGAAATAGATAATTTTTTTATTTGTTTGGCAGATTAAATTATACAAATGCCATTCCATTATACATGTAATTTAGCTATTCTTTATTCATTACCATCATATATTATATATATATATATATATATATATATATATGTGGTATTTTCAGAGGCAGATTAGGCATTTGATTTAACATTTATTTTCACCACTGTGTGGTTAGCCACTAACACAATGTTCTGGTTCTAACAAAAGCAAATCAAACTAATAAGTCAATATTAATATTGAATATGCCCATATCTAAAAGACTAAAACTAAACCATTTAACAGAATATATTTAATACTAATATGTGTAATTAATAATAATATTAAAAGATTACTGAATGATTACCAGATGTCAGCTAATGTGATGAAGACCCAGCAGGCCCCGGACAAGACATCATTGTCGTCATCATCTTCCACCACGTCGTCAACATCGTCGCTGCTAAGGAGAGGATCACAGACGAAAAGAATTTTGAAAGAAAAAGTTGTTCAGATATATGGGCTGTTCTTCAGGGTAGGGTTTATTCTTTTATTCATTTTTTTCACTCATTCAATCACTTATTTATTCATTCATTTGTTTATTCATTCATTTAATTTTTATTATGTTTCCATTTGTTCATTTGTTCACTCATTTATACATTTACTCAATTATTATAAATTCATTTATTCATTCATTTATTGCTGATGGATTGAAGAATGAGGACCCATCACAAGGCAATCCAAATTTCTGGGATGAATTATTTCTGTTGAAGGTTGGATGATGATGATGATTGTGGTGATGATGATTGTGATGATGATGATGATTTTGATGATGATTGTGATGATGATGGTTGTGATGATGATGATGATAATTGTGATGATGATGATGATGTTATCATTCTTGCAGGCCAACCCCCAGTTTATTGAAAGTGAGATTGAAAAGTTATCAGGAGAACAGCTGATTGACTTGATGGTTGGTTGATTGATTGATTGGTTGGTTGGTTGGTCGGTCAGTTGGTTACTTGGTTGGTTGGTCGGTTGGTTGATTGGTTGATTGATTGATCGATCATTAAAACAACAACACAGCTGATGTTGAACAAGTTATTTCAAAAGTCGGTTGAAGCCAGCTTACAAGACAATCACATAAGGATAAATAATGCTTTCCAAGTAGCCAGTTCATCCGTTTTTTCTATATTTCTTTCATTCATCTATTCGTTTATTCGTTCGTTCGTTCGTTTGTTTGTTTGGTTGTTTGTGTGTTTGTTTGGTTGTTTGTTTGTTTGTTTGTTTATTTATTCTTTCGTTCATTCATTCAAACTTCCATTTATCAAGTTTTCTTTGATCAATTCATCTTATCCAACTTCTTCGTTTGCATGTACACACACACACATACACTTTCTCTCTCTCTCTTTCTCTCACACACACACACACACCTACACATACATGCACAAACAAACAGACGATATGTTCATTGACACGGGGAGTCCTAACGAAATGTTCGTCGTCATCATCGACTGGTTTCGATCTCATCAACATCCTCATTGGCTTCGAGTCAGCTGAAGTCGTTATGAAGGTTGGTTGGTTGGTTGGTTGTTTGATTGGTTGTTTGATTGGTTGGTTGGTTGGTTGGTTTATTGATTGGTAGGTTGGTTAGTTGGTTGGTTGGTTAGCTGATTGGTTGGTTGGTTGGTTGGTTGGGTGGTTGTTTGATTGGTTGGTTAGTTGGTTGGTTGGTTGGTTGGCTGGCTGGTTGGCTGGCTGGTTGGTTGGCTGGAAGAATGGTTGGTCGGAATTTGAAACAATCTAAAATATATAAAAATCATCACAATAATTATCATCATCGTCATCATCATCATCATCAACTTCATCATCGTCATCATCACCAGAATCTGGTGGAGAGATTGAACACCATCTTAACGTGCGACTTCCCCCACCACCTGAAATCATTATCACTGGCCGTTCTTATGACGTTTGTTACTGTAAGCTGCTGCTGCTGCTGCTTTTTACAACACCAACAGCAACATCATTGACAACAAAAACATCAACAAAAACAACAACATCAAAAATAACATTAACAACAACCATAACAATAACAACATCAACAAAAACATCAACAACAATACCATCATCATCAACAACAACATCAACATAATTAACAGGGCACAGACAACGTCAGCCAAAACACACTTCTTGAGTACTTGATGATGAACAGTCTATTTGAAGCCATCGTTAAGGTTATTGTTGTTGTTGGTGTTGTTGGTTGTTGATGTTGTTGTCGTTGCTGCTGTTGTTGTTGATGTTGTTGTTGTTGGTTGTTGTTGTTGGTGTTGTTGTTGTTGCTGTTATTAATGACACAATTTAGAGAAAGATTTGAAAAGCATCGAACTTCAACGAGGGTACTGGTAAGGTGTTGTTAACCTCAAAATTTGTCGGAAACAGTTCTGGATGAGTTGATTGACATGCTGCCAAAAACAAATAGAAATGTGGTTGCGTCTGAATGTCAAGTATGGGAATCCAGTTTCACCACATCCACCAAATTACACCCTAAATCTGCTTTGGTGAGCCTGGATATGCGCAATAGAAATTTACATCCAAACATTTACACGTTATTACAAATTTTGGCAACTCGACTGCAACTCCAAAAAGAACATTATCAAGTTTACGAAAACTCAAAAGCTACTTGAGAAACACTCCCTCAGAAAATAGATTGAATGGTCTTGTTCTATAATGAATATTCATTATGATGCGAATTTATTTATTTCATTTATTCGTTTATTTGCCAAACAAGCGAGCTACAACTAGCTCAACAAGTACTGCCACCCTAAAATAAAATAAAATAAAATAAAACAAGTATTGCCATCCTATAATAAAATGCAAAATATGAAGTGACAAAATGAAATTTCTGCATGGACTAAAATTCACAAAGTTGAAAACAAAACATGTATGCTCCCACAGATATAAAAAACCTTAACTAAATTATTTAAACTAAATGGAATGCTATTGTCCAAATTAAACGTTAATATACAGAATAGACGATAAGAAAAATGAAAAACAAGTCATGATACAAGATGCTGATTGTAAATGCGAATTTAGATCCGAAACGTATTGTTGACGTTGAAAAATCGAAAGATTTCGTTATAACATTATTAAAATGTCATAGACTTCATGGTAACGTACAAAGCTTCTTTGTCGTTTAGTTGAGGAAATAAATTATTAACATACCTTTATATTAACAAATGTGTGTGTTATATATCTTTATGTAAAATTGAGGTTCAATGAAAAATTTTTTTCAATTTTTCAAAAACCCCCGCGGAAAAATTTTCTAACTACGCACATGAATCAATCAATTAATCAATCATTCAATCAATCTGTCAGTCAGTCAATCAATCACCAATCAATCAATCAGCTGATCGCCCACGCATCCTCAAGACATCACCATGGCAACGACGCCGTTCAACTCCTGTCACTACTCGTGCAATACAGGAAGAATGAGGTCGGTTAATGTTCATTATTATTATCTCATTATTACAGCAGTAGTAGTAGTAGTAGCAGCAGAGGTAGCAGCAGCAGCAGTAATAGTTGTAGTAGTAATAGTAGTGACAGTAGTAGCAGAATTAGTAGTAGTAGAAGCAGAAGTAGTAGTGGTAGTAGTAGTAAAACAATAATAATAATAATTTCTCCATACCAGTTAATCAACCCGTACATAGTTAAGTTGTCCATTCTTGACGACGAGATGGCACTGACTGTGAGTTTGTGGTGATGTCTCTCTCTCTCTCTCTCTCCTTTTACTCTTTTTCTCTCCTCTCTCTCTCTTTCTCTCAGTTGAACGCTTTTTTCTTAACCTTGTGGAACTCCTTTTTCTAATCAGCTCGCGCCATTTTCTCATTTTTAAAATCAAACTGATGAACGTTTTCTTAACCTTAGAGATGTCTTTCTCTCCCTTTCTCTCTCTCTTTCTATCTCTCTTTCATTTTTTTTTTTCTCAGTTGAACGTTTTCTTTCTTAACCTTGTGGAACTCCTTTCCCTACTCAGCTCGCGCCATTTTCTCATTTTAAAATCAAACTGATGAAACTTACGGCATTCCTTTCATAATTAACATGTTATATTTTATTATACTATTATTATATTTTATTACGTTAATATATTATGTAATAATTTCTTCTTATTAGCTTTCAATCTCATCTCTAGGCTTCGTTGTTTTTGTGTATATAAGTGTGTATGGGTATTTTTTTGCGGGCTAAACGAGTTAAATTAATATATATATATATATATATATATATATATATATATATATATATTCTTTAAAATATGTATCCTTTAAAATATGTATCCTTAATAAATATATCCTTAACAAATATTTCTTTAAAAAATGTATTCTTAATAAATATATTCCTAAAAAATATATCCTTTATAAATATATCCTTTAAAATATCCATTAAAAAATTAAATGTATCCTTGAAAAATATATCTTCGAAAAATATATCCTTAAGAAATATATCCTTAAAAAATATATCTTTTAAATATCCTTGAAAAAAGTTAAATATATCTCTAGGGTCTGGCGCAAATTGTATCTACAAGTCTGTCCAAGTACAATAAGTTAGTCTGCCTGCATGACTTATTTGGTTTGGTTTTTGCTTATCATTTCATTCGTTCATTTGTTCATTCATTCGTTCATTCATTCATTCATTCGTTCATTCATTCATTCATCCATTCACTCAGTCAGTACCAGCAGAAGATGTTGGATGCGGAGACCAGTGGTTTCTTTGCTACCATTTCAAATCTGGTGAGACTTTTTCACCATCATCGTCACCATCATCATCATTATCGTCGTCACCATCATCATCATCATTACCAGGTGGGAAACATGTTTGTAGGTGAGGAGACGAAGACTGAGGCTATCAAGTTGGTGTCATTTAAAATTAGTTTGTTCATTCGTTCGTTTGTTCGTTTGCCCATTCGTTCATCATTCTTTCTTTCGTTCGCCCTCTCACTCACTCACTCACTCACTCACTCACTCACTCACTCACTCACTCACTCACTCACTCACTCACTCAGGGCCAACAGCAGCGTCCTCTTAGCCCTGTACGAGGCCATTCACCTCAATAGAAATTTCATCACCACACTGGCACATGTTAGGCTCTCTTCTTTTCCTCATTGTCATTCACCCACTCATTTGTTATAATTATAATAATAATAATAATAATTATTGTTGTTGTTGTTATTGTTGTTGTTAATTATCGCCTTCATCATTGTCATCCTCTCCATCATCCTCTCCATCATCCTCATCATCATCATCTTCTACATCATCCTCACCTTCATCATCGTCCTCACCACCAGTCCCACACCCACTCACTTCCGTCAACTCCGACTGCTGACCAATCATGTTCAACGAGTGACCTCGACTCGCCTGGTTAGATATCATCATCATCATCTCTACCATTTTCATCACTATCTCTACCATCATCATCATTTCTACCATCATCATCATCATTTCTGCCATCATCATCATGGCCAATATTTTTTTAAATTTTTAAATTTGGGGGCTACGGCCACCCAAACCTCCCCCTAAATTCGCCACTGATCATTTTTTTACCACCATCGCTATTATCATTGTTATTAATATTATTATTATTATTGTTGTTGTTTGTTGTTGTTTGTTGTTGTTTGTTGTTGTTTGTTGTTGTTTGTTGTTGTCGTTGATGTCGTCGCCATTATCCCCTTCATATCTTCACAAGCGGTGATCAACACATCAGCCAGAATCATCGGCACGAACAACAACATGACGACGACGACATCAGCGATGACGTCATCGTCAACAACGACAACAACAACAGCGAACGATGACGACAATAACCCGCCAACAAATCTACTGGCTACGTTTCTCGAGTATTCTTCTATCATTTGTCAGGACATCAAGGGTTGTTGTTGTTGTTGTTGTTGCTGTTGTTGTTGTTGCTGTTGTTGTTGTTGCTGTTGTTGTTGTTGCTGTTGTTGTTGTTGATTATGATGATAAGGACGATAATGACGGATGATAATGATGGTGATGATGACGAGGGTGATGACGACGATGATGATGATAGTGGTCGTGAGGTTGTTGTGGTTTTTGTTATTGCTATTCAAGTATTTTTTAGAATCGGAATTTAGCGTTAATAGCAACAGCTAACATACAACATAATAAATATGCCAACAAAAGTGTCACCAACCGACCAACCAACAACCAACCAGCCAACAACCAACCAACCAACCGACCGACCTTCCGACTAACCAACCAACCGACCAACCAACCGACCAACCACCAACCAACCAACCGACCGACCAACCAACAACCAACCAACCGACCAACCACCAACCAACCAACCGACCAGCCAACCAACCAAGTCTACATAAAATGTCAACAACAACACCACCACCATTAACAACAACAACATCATTAACAACAACAACAACATCATCATCAACATCATTAACAAGAACAACAACAACAACATCATCAACATCATTAACAACAACATCATCATCAACATCATTAACAACAACAACAGATACGGCACGTTACAACAGCACTAAACTCTGCTTCATAATCATCACTTGCATTGCTGAGGACCAGTATGCCAACTCCCTATTACACGACAACAACATGAACTTCAGGGTCATGCTGCATAGAGCAGTAAGTTGTTGTTGCAGTAGTTGTAGCCACTGTAGTAGCTGCAGTTGTAGTAGTAGTTGTAGTAGTAGTAGTAGTAGTAGTAGTAGTTGTAGTTGCAGTAGTTGCTGTTGAGGTTGCTTCTCTTGTTTTTATGATTTTCATTATAATATGCGATTTTTGTTGTTGTTGATGATGGTAACTCCCTTTAAATGACCCCTTAAACTTTAAATGACCCCTTAAACTTTGAATGACCCCTCAAACTTTGGATGACCCATTAAACTGACCTACTTAACCTGACCCACGCTGACCGATATATTTTATTTCCCAGCCAATGAGGCACCGCCGACCAATCGCCACGAGGAAGTCAGCATCTAGGCCGCTGGTCTGCGCCCTGATTGGTCAGTTGGTGATGTTGATGATGATGAAGATGATGGTGATGAAGATGTTGGTGATGACGATGACGAAGCTTGTTAAGATTGAAAATTAAATTATAGCAATTTCAGTAACTTTGGTTTGGTGATTGCCATCCAACAACAACAACAACATTCAAAAAGTCAACAAACTCATCTAAACATACACACACTTACATATACTCAACACATATACACGTATAAACACACACACCACACACACACACACACATGTACACACATACAAATACGTATACACACACACGCGCATATGTATGTTTATACTTACATATTTAGTAGCAAAAACATTCACACCAACAGACCTGATGGTAGAATTTATAATCAGTCATCTCATGAAGAATTTTCCTATCGAATTACATCTGTATGTTCTCGTTCGTCTGACTGTTTGTATGTTTGTATGTTTACGTGGATGTGTGTATGTGTATGTGTTTGTTTGTTGTATGTATGTTTGTATATATGTTTTCACATGATTGTTTATTTGCTAGTTTAAGATTTACGCACTCAAATATGTATGTAGGTATGTTAATGTTTGTTTCATATGTTTGTATTGTATTGTATTTGTTTGTATGTTTGTATATTTACGTGGATGTATGCATGTGTTTGTTTGTTCTGTTTGTTGTATATATGTTTTCACACGATTGTTTATTTGCTAGTGTTTGTTTCATATGTTTGTATTGTATGTGTTTGTATGTTCATTGAGAAACGGTAACATCAACAACAACAACGTCAACAACAACGTCAACAACAACATCAACGACAACAACATTACAACATCAACAACAACATCAATAACAACAACAACAACATCAACAAAAACATCAACAACAACAACATCAATAACAACAACGACATCAACAAAAACATCAACAACACCAACAAACAGAAGATGTCTCGGCATCATACATCGCATCATATGCTACCAGAAGAAATGCCGCATACGACTGAACTGCCAGTGGAGGGAATTGTGGAGTGGTTAGTTGTGCGTGTGTATGCGTGTGTATGTGTGAGTGTATGTGCGTGTGTATGTGTGAGTGTATGTGCGTGTGTATGTGTGAGTGTATGTATGTGTATGTGTGAGTGTATGTGTGTATGCGCGTTTTAAATTTGTTGAAAATTTTTATAGTCATTGTCTTTGTAGATTGTGGATGATTCGTATGAATTTGTGATGTCTGGTTGAATAGAATGGCAATACTGATGATGATGTGATGATGGCAGTACTGGTAATGATTTGTGATAAAGGTAGTAGTAATGATGATTTGTATGACGATCTTTCATCTCGACTAGTAGGTAACGAACCCTGCATTGTGCGTGTGTGCTTTTATCTCGGCTAGTTATAAACTTCTGATGTTACTATTCCTCAATGAACATACTCTAGAATAATTTTATGTTATAGAATTCATTGCAGGCGATATGATCGAATTCTAGATTACTGAAAACCAAATTTTGTAAAAAGCCCTTTGTTATTCGTAGCACTCATAAACCTGCTGAAGTTCATACTGACCAATGAGTCTACACTGGTAAAGAAATGCGACCTATTTCATCTGGCTACCAAGGTGTTTATGTGTGTGTGTGTGTTTGTGTGTTTGTTTGTTTGTGTGTTTGTTTGTGTGTATGTGTGTGTGTGTGTGTCAGTCACCAACCACACAACAACATCAACCACAACCACACCAGACACACCAGCCACACAACAACATCAAACACAACCACACACCAACCACACAACAACATCAACCACAACCACACACCAACCACAACAACAACATCAACCACAACCACACAAAAACATCAACCAACCACACAACAACCACACAACAACAACAACAACCACACAACAACGACAACAACAACATCAATAGATCGTCAACATTTTCAACTTATTCATAACGTACGGCGACACGTTCCTAAATGACCCCAACAACTACGACGAACTCTACTACGAGATAATTAGGACCCACCAAATATTTGATAATCTATACTCATTAAGTAAGTTGTCGTCGTTGTAGTGGCTGTTGTAGTAGCGGCAGTAGCAGCAGCAGTAGTAGTAGAAGCATGAGTGGCCATAACTGTACTTCGAGATTACATCAAATATTTGATAATCTATACTCATTAAGTAAGTTGTCGTCGTTGTAGTGGCTGTTGTAGTAGCAGTAGTAGCAGCAGCAGTAGTAGCAGCGGCAGTGTTAGCAGCAGCAGTAGTAGTAGAAGCATATGTAGCCATAACTGTGCTTCGAGATTACACCAAATATTTGATAATCTATACTCATTAAGTAAGTTGCCGTTGTTGTAGTAGCAGTAGTAGTAGCGGCAGTAGTAGCCACACCAGCAGTAGTAGTAGTAGCCTCACCAGCAGATACAGTAGTAGCCACAGAAGCAGTAGTAGTAGCCACAGCAGCAGCAGTAGTACACACAGCAGCTGCAGTAGTAACCACAGAAGCAGTAACAGTAGTAACCACAGCAGCAGCAGCAGCGGTAGTAGCCACAGCAGCAGCAACTCTAACTAACTCTACTAGGAAATAATAAGCACTTATTAGATATTTTCTTGCCATCTGCAACAGACTTGCGATACAGCTCCCAAGAAGATAACTCGTACAAGGT